CCGGAACGCAGTGTATGTTTGCGTGTATGGGCGAGGTTGACGACTGCGGGCCATGTAAGTGTACAACGCTGCTGGTTGTTCTCGTTCTGGCCCGCGGTAGTCAACCTGTCGCTGGTGCCATATTTTTTTCTGTTTTTCCAGCTGGGTGAGGTTGACTATTGCGTGCCATGTCAGTGTGTACCAATGCTGGTTGTTGTCCCGATGACCCACAGTAGCCAACTGCCCTCTAACGCAGTGTATGTCTACCTGTATGGGCGAGGTTGACTAATGCGGGCCATGTAAGTGTACACCGCTGCTGGTTGTTCTCGTTCTTGCCCGCAGTAGTCAACCTCGCGCTGGTGTCACATTTTTTTTTTTTTTTCCAGTTGGGTGAGGTTGACTATTACGTGCCATGTCAGTGTGTACCGATGCTGGTTGTTGTCCCAACGGCCCGCAGTAGCCAACCGCCCTCTAACGCAGTGTATGTATGCCAGAGAGAGAGAGAGGTTGACTTCTGCGGGCCATGTAAGTGCACACCGCTGCTGGTTGTTCTCGTTCTGGCCTGCAGTAGTCAACCTACCTCTCTCTCTCTCTCTCTCTCTCTCTCTCTCTCTCTCTCTCTCTCTGGTGAGGGGGCCACGTCGCTGCTAGGGCTTCTCATAAATGTATGTGATGTGTCATGCAATAGATGGAGCCTGCGATTCAATCGAATGTCAACGGCGTGGAGACATGCGCGATGGAGACCCAGGACATTGTCAAGGGTATCGCAGTTGTCAGCAACGAAGGGATATCGGCCGGAGCAAACACCACTGACTGTGCAGTGGTCCTTGCGGCAATTTGTGAGCAGAGTGCAGACATGATGACGGATGGTGAGGCCAATGAGAATGATGCAGGGTGTGTTGTTGCAGACGAGAATGTGGTCAGGACGTCAGCAAAAACTCTCTTCCCCTATGACATCATTGGGTACCTGGTCGACTTCAACCGGGTATCGTTGGAGGAGCGTCGTGCTTCGCGTTCAAAGTCAATGGGGAATGGGTTCCATATCCCGCCCCCAAAGCGACGTCGTGGAGGGGCGTGACTCTGTCAATCATCGTCGACAGAGTGCTGAGGTTGGAAGATGAGGTGAGCGCTGACGACAAATCGCGGCATGTGTTGAAACTGTGGCATGTTCTGGACGCGAAGGGCGAGTTGAGGCTCAATGATTTTGAGTACGACAGTGTCGACTGCGGAGAGTCATGGGTGATTGGCGGGTTGGACACTACAGCGAGTTCGGTTTGCCCACAGAGTGATGCCAGGAGGGATCCACGGTGGGGTTGGGTGCCACATGACGCCCCGCTTCTTTGTGGCCGTGTGAAGGTGCCGATGCATGATGCCATGGGGAATGTATGGACCACGTGTTATATAAACGGCAGCTTCTCATCTAGGCACCTGAACAGGGAGGTGACTGAAGAGGAGAAGATGGCGATGGCTTGTCCCACCCCTGCTGCTCGTTGTTTTTCGCCGCCTCTTCGGAACCCTGAGGAGCTCGAGGTGGCAGAGGGGAAAGTGTTCGCGGGTGACCATGGGTACACATACACGCATGCCAGAGGGGAGGACGCTACTGCTGATGGAATAACCACGCTGGTATGGGACCCATTCAACCTGAACCCTGACGTTCTGGCTGCCATAGACATTGCGGCCCATGTCATCCCTGAGGGGCAGTTGCAGCAGCATGTGGCCCCTCAGAAGTACAGATATTGTGTGAATTAGGTCCCAAGATGTCTGCAGCCGGCAACAGTTGATGGCAAGGTGACCATGGCAGCGAAACTGCAGACAGGTCATTGGCTGCCCTTGGGGTGGATGCATGCAGGCATGGTGGAGCAGTGGCAGTTCCTGGTGGTAGTGGCACGTGTCTTCATTTTCAATGCAGATGTGAAGGACCACGTGCTGGTTGTGGAGCATGCAAAGCGGTGCTGGGAGAAGATAAGGAAGGAGGACCGTCAGATGGTGTGCATGGGTTACGACTCCATGCCAGACCAGGGGATGTGGTCCATGGTTGAGGGGAGTCCTGGTGGGCAAGGGCAGGGCGATGGCGAAAACAGGTACATGGCTCACATCCACCGCAGGCATGGTTGCTCCGCCCTTGTTGGTTGGGTCCCGGCCGTATGTCGCATGACATACGAGCAAGGTGGAGAGATGATGATGAGGTTCAGGGACCCGCTTGGTGTGCCGTTTCTGCTGACGTACTCGGATGGCCTCCTGTGAGACATTCGGTATATGGTGGCCGAGGACACCCGAGGTGGACATCGGAGGCCGGGACAGACAGAGGAGACGCGCCCGGGACATTAGGACGGTTTGTCTGCTGAGGTGGACGGCCCATGTGGCGGTGAGCGAGTTGCAGGGTGCTCTGCAGCGCAGGGTGACGTGGCCGGGCCCAGCAAGACAGCGATGTCCCACGGCCCGAGGAAGGTGAAGGCGGTTGTGTCGAGGCCGCGGAGGGGGAAGACGGTTGGTGACAAGCAAAAGAAGAACCCCCAGCCTGTGCCACAGACCGGTAACAATGCATATGCGCCTGCACGGGTCCACAGACGCCATAGACACCCCGGGATGGCAGCTTTGACAGAGATCAAGAAGCTGCAACGATCCACCGACCTTTGTATCACTTTCAGGTATCTCCCCCACAAGTTTACGACAGCGTGCAGACACTGCATATTTCTTTCTTTCATGCAGTTCATTATGGTTACGATGTTTGTCATTCCATGTTGCTTTCTGGGGC